GGCCATGCGTCGCCGCCCAACGAGCCAAGGCCTTGCCCCTCACGTTGTCCTGCCGGGAACCCCAACTCGTGTGCCACGAGTTGAAGTCCCCAGCAACGAGGACCGGCTTGGGACTCAGACTCAGGACTGTTTGTCCTATGTCCTCCAGCCAGCCCTCGAACGGGGCAAAGCTCTTGGTGGGCCTTAAGTAGACCCCACGACCGCGATGGGCCCCCATTGAACGGCCACATGCCGCTCGCCGCTGACGATGGCGGTCGTATCGGGACCACCCGGCACCGACCGCCATCGTATCGCGACCGAGTCCCCCGCAGCCCCATTATCGACAGCCCAGAAAGGACTGCCTGTCCTGGGGGGGCGGTGGGGCTCGGCCACGATCGCCAACGTGAACCCCCTCTCCACCATGCTTTGCTGGAGTAAATCCTGCGCATGGGGAGAGTGGTTCACATTGGCCTGAAATAGGCCATAACCACCCAAGTTCGGGCGGGGGGGATGTCGAGGCATTACTAAGCCTTATCCCCCCCGTCCGATGGGGCCTCTACATCCATGGCCTCCTCCACGGAGGCCCCTCCCTCGCGCGCCTCTTGGCGCGGTTGACGCCGCGGTTTGGGCGTCTCGCCCGCTCCGCCACTCGACTCCCCCTTGTCCCCTGCCACCGGCTGAGCTTCGGCCGGGGGAGGGGCCCCGGTGACCGGCGCCTTTCCTTGGGCGCCCGGTGGGCGTCCGCGCACGTTGCGCTGGGTGCAGATGTTGGCACCCAGCACGTGTGCCGCCGGTCTGCCCTTGTCCGTACAGAGCGGACACTTAGGGGCAGACCGGCATCCGCGGGAGGTGTGACCGGCCTCTCCACACCGATAACATCTCCCGCTGCGGTCCACCTCACCGGGGCACGTCGCCCTCGTGTGGCCCCTCTCGAGGCATCTGTGGCAGCGCATAGGCCGCGCCTCGAGAAGGGCCACCCTGGCCCTGACCCAGCCGGCCCTTATTCGCCCCTGCTGGACGATCTCTTTCGCGGAGGCGAGGGGGAGGC